GAAAGAGGAGAGGAAGGAGAGGAAGGGGAGGGGGAGGGGGGCAGAAGACAAATGGACATACAGATAGAGATAAAAGAATTAAATTGTGAATGTGTACGCCCACAACGACACAAGTTAGACCATGTAATGGGTAGCATGCTTCAACGCTGCCTATCACAGCCAACTCGTGCTGGCAGGGATGCAAAGTCTCATTAATTGTTTGTTTTTTTGTTTGAGTAAAGAGAAGCACGTTGACACAATAATGGCTTTTTTAGGGCTGGGTAAAAGTGTAATTTTTGTGCAAGACAGACAGACAGAAATAACAGAGGGGAAAGTAAAGAAGTATGACCTAGCTACCAGTGGCGCCCTTCAACAACCCACAACAACGTCCCAGAAGAAAGACGGGAATACTTTGGTAAACATTATCCTCACTCGGGTATCTAACCCAAGTCTACTGCGTTAAGTTGCCATTTTTCTTCATTATTTTTTGTGGGGTAAGTGTATTACGGCGCTCGCAACTGCATACGGTCAAAAATCTAAATGAGCGCACGGGAGATACTAAACATTTCTCACTTGGTAGGACATTTTGAAGTTTGCCTGGGTGGCGGCCGAAGCCTACTTTTATCGATTTTCGACAACTAAGGGATCTTTAACGTGCGCAACTTGCACACGGGACCTCCGAGATTGTTCGCCCTTCTCAGAGAAGGCTAGGTGTAGATCTTTCCTGCCATTAGATCAAAGGTACGGCTCAAAAACAGCAGTAAAAAGGAGCCAAGGAGAAGCAATAGAAAGAGTCAGGGGCCCAGAGGAAGGGGCAAAGGATGTGAAGGGGTGGGGACAGAATGGAGACAAAAGCAGACGACAGAGCATTGCTAGAGAGCAGGAGAGGAGGTGAAAGGAAACAATTTTAGAGAACAAATTGTTTTGGTCGTTACCCGGATTCGAACCCGGACCTTGGAATGAGAGGCGAACACTTTAACCTCTAAGCCTCGAAAGCCTCCTTGGAAATACTTTGGTAAGCATTATCCTCACTGGGGAAGCAAACCCAAGTCTTCTGCGTACGTTGCCATTCTCGTAACTACAGGATTTTCAGTTTTAGTAAGAGTTTTACGGCACTCGAATGTAAAAGGACAAAGACAAGCCACCCATGCCAGCCAGACAGACAGCCAGAAAGACAGACAGACAGACAGACAGCCAGAAAGACAGCCAGACAGACAGACAGACAGACAGACAGACAGACAGACAGA